AGGGCTGGCCGCTTGCGCAGGCTGTGGTGGTATCGCACTCTCCCTGCCCGTTAGGAGCGGGGCTGGGCCTCCGAGCCGGCCTCCGCTCCCAGCAGCGTTTCTGTGCTCTGGAGGGGCCGTGTCTCTGGAAGCGTTGGGGATGGCCCTGCGGCGGAGGGGAGGCTGGGCTGGGCGGCCCCTTAGAAGGGGACGTTCCCAATGGGCGAATGCAGGGCCTTCGGAGAGGAGGCGAGATTTAAGGTAGAGGCACAAGTAAATACCTGAGACCAGAGTGTGATGACCCAGTGACCTTCAGCCTGTGAATGTGATCTCTGGAGGTGGAAGCAGAAGAACGTTAAATAAAAATAAAATCTCACATATGTAAGCAAGGTTACTATGTTGCTCAAAATAAGACTTATTAGTTTTTACCAAGGTCTCTGGGTGGCTTTGCTGAGCAGGGCTCAGTAAGGTACTGCCTTCAGCTTTACAGGCCTGGTGCGTATTTCTTTCTACTTGTTTCCAGGAACTGTGTTGTGCAGAAGTGAAGCTGTAACTCTCCTGAGAGACTGGGAGAGGGTTTAATGTTAATCTCTACCCAGCAACAAACAAACAAAAATGCAAACAAAAGCCTATTCTAGGATCTCCCTTGGGAATGCAGGGCATGTCATGTGTCTGTGGCCTTCAGGAAATCTGGGAAGCTTCAGTCATAGATTCAGAGCAAAGTTCTGGCAGACCAGCCCTGCTTCAAGCTTTAAACACACTGAAAATTGTTTCATGGTTTCTGTCTTCTCAGTCTTGCATTTCATAAACAGCTGCTCAGCCTAAACACTGCTTCAGTTGGTGAGCTGCAATGGCAGTGCTAAGTTTACTATATGAAAATTCCTTGTATTAGATGTGCGAGTGCGTATCCTTCTGCATGTGCAGAAGGTCTGAAAAAGCTGCACTTTGAGCATGCCTAGTTCAGTTAAGAAAACTAAAATATGCTAATTTTGTTGTTGTGTTTTCTTTCAGGCAAGAATTCATATCAGCTCCGAGCAGAATTTGCAGTATGGTTGGCTGGCTTATATGTTGGGAGACAGAGCTACAAAAAAGTTCACTGAATACAGCAAAATCTTTACTGTGGAGGGAAACTTATCTTCTGGGAAGGGCAAGCTTGCACAACAAATAGCAGAAAAGCTAGGTACATCTCATTTGCCCTGTTTCTGTAATAGTTAATAGCATTTAACAGTGTGATTGTCGTTCTTGTGTAAAGAAAGTTAGTTCACCAAACCAGCAATTCTTGACTAGGAAATTATTAGTTGGGCAATGCCACAGTTAATGTGGAGGGCTTATACATAAGGGGATAATAAAATGCTGGTGAGGTTTGAAATGAGGACGGGACGCTTATCAGATCTGCAGGATACTTGTGTAAGTACGATTTGTTGTGAATGAAGTTTTACTTCTAATGAAGTCAGTTTGCTCGCGGAGCTCCTAGCTCTGGTGGAGTCACTGAGCACCTTGAGAGTTAGGATTTTCTGCATGGGTGTATGCAGAGCATCAAGGTGATTAGAAGATCAGTGGCAAAAAGATTCTGCTTAGAACGATAGCTCAACTCTCACTGGGGAGGTGAAAGGTGGCAATACTTCAAATTAGGGTTTGTGTGCCCTCTGTGATGTGATTGACAAAGGATTTTGTGCTGTTTTCAGGTGTTGTTTAAAGTAAAGCTATATATTTAAATGAGCTGAATAGATGTTTACTGTGAATGAACAAAACTTATTATTTTGATTGGTGCAGTTGTGGGTTTCTTTTTTGTCAGGAATGAAATATTTCCCAGAAGCGGACATCCACTACTTAGACAGAATCACTGGAGACGGAACGTTGCTGCCTGAGAAATTTAATGGTTTCTGTAACCTAGAGAGATTTTACAATGATCCAAAATGCCCTGATGGACACTCTTATCGACTGCAAGCTTGGCTGTTTGGTAATCGTGTTTTACAGTATGCTGATGCGTTGGAGCATCTGCTGTCCACAGGTTAGATTTCACAGTAAATAAATTTCATTTCTGAATTAACTTATGAATGTAAGTTGTGAGTAAGCTGTTCTGAAGTGCTTTGCTAGTATCTGCATTTTTAAATGAAAGGCTGTTAAGCTTTTTATATTTTCCCCTTTAGTGAGGGCAGGTTAACAGTCCATTTAGAAAAATACCATGCATATTTTGTTAGAACAGCATCTTGTATAATTTCTAGTGAAGGAAATATGTACCGGTTACCAATTTCATTAGTTTTAATTTGGGAATCCCTGGTGATTATTTTCAAAACGACATTTTAAACATACCAAGAGAGCTGTGAGTTGTACAGCCTTTTTAAAACTCTTCCTAGACTTAGTTCCTGATGGTGTCTTTTGTTCAGTCTTTATTTCATTAAATCCTGTTTTTGTGGGGGTATTGTTATAGTTTGAGTGTCTTCTGGTGAGAAAAGATTTCCTATACCAACTCTGATTTACCCGTTGCTTGTGCTTTAGTAAGTGTTTTCCAAAAAAGATGAAAAGCTGTGAATGCCAGAAAGTATCAGACACAAATGTAAATGTACTCCTTAAATATAGTAGTACTTAGCTACTGTGGTGATAGGCACAGTAGGAGAATATATGTATAGGTGAGACAGGCATGTTCAGCATACATATCCGATACTTTTGTGTGAGCCAAAAACTTGTTCCTTTGTTTTATTTAAAATTTCTAGAAAAGCACTCGGAAAATTGACCATAAGAGCAGTACTATCTTTAACTTTAAATGTTGCTGCCAGCAGTCTCTTTGAGCGTTGCTGACTGGAACCTCCTTTCAATTGCAGGACAAGGTGTGGTGATGGAGCGTTCTCCCTACAGCGACTTTGTATTTCTGGATGCAATGTTTAAACAAGGCTATATCCACAAGCGATGTAAGTTACTTGCATGCAAAAGGAAGTTATTCTGCCATAATCTCAGCCAGAAGTGTGGTAGTTTAGTTTTTAAAAAAGAAACAAAAGAGCCTGCTTGGAAGATGGACTCCTTTGAAAATTTAGAGTTGTTCATAAGGTGCTTAGCACCTTGCTGTTCCATGCATCAAGGACCAACCTCAAGCCATGAGACTTCCAGTTTTAATTGAAGGCTTTGGTTCTGCTTATATGTTAAAGAACATGTATTCTGTGTGTTACTTACTTGTGTCCTGTCAGCCAGAGACTCCTGTAGTTCCCTGGAAATGTGGGTGAGCATGCTGATTAAGACTAGAAGTCCTTCAGGCAGACCGTGATCTTGCAGTATTAGATGGGAGGTAAATAATGGGTCAACAGGGTTTGGCCTACTTCCCTTAAATGGCCAGCTCCCTTTTGAATCTCAAAGAACACAAACGTTGCTCTTGTCTTCAAGAAGGGCAAGGAGGAGGATCCAGGAAGCTACAGGCCAGTCAGCATCAGCTTGATCTGCAGGAAGGCGATGGAGCAAATCCTCCTGGAAGCCATTTCCAAATATACGGAGGATGTGAAGGTGGTGGAGAACAGTCATCATAGTTTTATGAAAAGGAAATCACACTTAAACACCTGATGGTCAGCTCCTCATAGAAGGCTAGCTCAGTGGATGAGCGGAGAGCAATGGATATTGTTTACCTTAAGCAAGGCTGTCAGTGCTGTCTCTCATAACCTCCTCATTGACAAACTGATGAAGTTTGAGTTAGATATGTGGGTAGTAGATTGAAAAGTGGCTGAACTGCTGTACTCAAAGGGTTGTGATCAGCAGTGCAAAGCCCAGCTGGAGGCCAATAACTAGTGGTGTATCCCAGGGGAGGATACTGGGGCCGAACCAGGTTTAAAACATGGATGACAGGAAAAAGTGCAGCCTCAGCAGATTTGCAGGTGATGCAAAACTGGGAGGGGAATGGTTGACACACCATATGTTTTTAGAGCTGTTCAGAGGAACCTGGACAGGCTGGAGAAATGGTTGGATGGTAACCTCATGAAGTTCAACAAAAGGGAATACGAAGTCCTGCACTTGGGAAGGAATAGCTGCAGGCACTCATATATGCTGGGAGGCAACTGTCTAGAAAATTTTGCAGAGGAGGATCTCGGGGTCCTGATGGACACCAAGTTGCATTTGAGCCAGCAACTTGCCCTTGTGGCAAAGGATGCCACTGGCATCCCGGGTGCTGCATGATGAAGAGTGGTGTCAGCAGGTCAAGGAAGGTGATCACCAAATCTGGAGTATTGAGGTCCGTTCTGGGTGACCAGTTGAAGAAAGATAGGAACTTACTGGAGCGAGTCTAGCAAAGGGCCATGAAGGTCACTAAGAAACTAGAGCATCCGATGTCTGAGGAGAGGCTGAGAGAGCTGGGATTTTTTTGGCATGGAGAAGAGAAGGCTCAGGGGGATGTGTATAAATACCTGATGGTATTTATGTGTATAAATACTTGATGCAGAGGAGTATTGGATGGAACCAGTCTTTTCTCAGTGGCACCTAGTGAGAGGACAAGAGGCAAAGGGCACCAATTGAAATACAAGAAGTTCCATTTATAAGAAAAAACCATTTTCTACTGTGAAGGTAGTCAAACCCTGGAGCAGATTGCCTGGGGAGGCTGAGGGATCGCTATCCTGGAGATACTCGGAACACTGTGGGACACAGTCCTGAGCCACCTGCTCTGAGCAGAGTGGTTGAACCAGATGATCTGTGGATGTTCCTTCTGACTGAGTGATTCTGTGGTTTGGGGTTATGGGCGCTGAGCTCCTGAGCGGTGCAGTGTTACTGTGCTAGTGCCTTGTGGGCAGATGTGTGGAGTCTCCATCCGTTGGCTAGGAGTGGAGCAGTTACATGACATATATAGGAGACCAGCCACAGCCAAAACATGCAAACTTACAGCTGAACAAGTTTGAAAGTCTGTAGAAAATAACTGTAAAGCCCAGTCATCAGGTGACTCCTCAGTAAATTGCTATTGAAATTCTTGTTTCTGCCTGTTCTTAGCAAATCTGGCATTTTGGCTACTCCTGAGGTGAAGATAATTGTTTCCCTGCCTGCCTCGTGTTTCTACTGTCTTGTTTGATTTGGCTTAGATTGGGGACGTATGTATTTATTTTTTAACACCTGCTGTAAGTTGCAACTTCTTGCTGAATGAGTTTGAGAGCTGGTTATAATGAACTGTGTCTTACTGCTCACAACACTTACTGTGTTGGTGAGGCAAACAAAGCCCAGCAACCCACAATTTATATTTAATATAAAATTCCAACAACAAGTAATGGATTGTACCAAAATCCTTCAACAGCAAACATCTTGATTAGATGTGCTGCTGACTGCTGCCTACTGCGGTGCTAAGCACAGTGGGCATTAAATTTTTCACGAACTGTTTGAATTTGAAAGCTCGGCACTATGTTTCTAGCTAAGCTGGTGAGCCTTATTGAGGAAAGCTTGCACTTGAGCTGGGTTTAATGGAGCCTGTGCTGTTCATGCCACTTAAATTTGAATAAATGCTTCCCCTGAACCTGTACGGCTTCCTAATCACCAACTGTTAGCCCAAAAATGCTTTAGGTTATTGATGTGGTAGAAGAACCCAGTTGCACAGAGCTGACCAACTCCTCTCAGATACATTTTTCTGTATGGGAAGGTGAGGTCCTCCAGTCCTGTCCTCCAAAGTGGACTCTGGTTGTTGTGTTTTTGGAGAGAAGATCTGCTGTTGCTTGTGTGGAGCACAGAGCTATTGAGTAACAGTAGTGCAGAGTATGCCTCCAATACAGGTGAAGAGGGACACTGTTGGGTTGGTGACCTCTTAAAATACTTGCTTTACCTCAGCATGATTTTGTGTATGCATCGGAGGACAAGGCAAATGCCTGCCTGATCCTTGGATTTCCCCCGATGGTGGGAAATAGAGTACTTCTTGCAAAGTCTTCTTGAAGCGTGTGACTTTTTTCCATTACCACCTTTGCCACACTACCATCTTTGTGGTAGGATGGGGCCATTTATTTTGTGTATGAGGCTGTGGCAGAAGGCAGCCCCAGCCAGTGGTCACCTCAGGTGGCCCGAGTGCTGCAGTCTCTTCCTGATGTTTTGAGAGGCTCTCTCTAAACGATGGAGGAAAAACGTAGGTTTCTGTAAATTTAAGTCGGAAATAAATCCCCTCTTTGATATAACAGGTGTTAGATCCTTATATCTCAGTGCATGTAGCTTCTTAGTTTAATTGTGTTTTACTTTCTGTTTCTGGAAGATTGTTTATTCTAAAAACTTCCTGAATCCTACTTGAGGAGAAGCGTACCCTAAAATTGCTATATCAGCCAAGAAGAGGAGACTACGAATACAAAGGTGGGGGATGTGATTTATTTGCAAATAGAATGAGTTTAGCAAATTCAGGAAAAACACCCAAGAAATGATTGCAGATTCATTACCTGATAGGTTGTAATTTTAATGCTGTTCCTATTGCACTTGTCCTCATTTGCAACATGTGTATGTGTTCAGCTGGGCTGCCTTTAGCTCTCCAATGTGTTTCGTTTTGTTTTTTATACAGGTCTTGATCACTACAAGGAGATCAAAGAGATCAGCATTTGTGAATTCCTGCCACCTCACTTGGCCATTTACATAGATGTACCTGTCCCAGATGTGCAGAAGAGGATTCAAGAGAAAGGCGAGGTAATTTTATCTCTTGCCAGTATTACTGCCTGTTAATGTCTGTTGTAATCATGCCCTTATGCATGAGTCCTGTGGGGTTTGCTGCAGAATTCTGCTTCTGAAAAGCTTTTTGTCCTCAGAGGTGTAAGAACTGTGTGTTGGTGATGACTGTGTGGGTATTCTGGTATGCTTGCTCTAAAAAAAGCAAAAATCAACTTTTTTGACTGCATCAGTATGCTGTCATTTCTGTAATGAGAAGCTCTGTAAAAATCATCTGCCCTTAAAAACTGGCCTTTGTAGCTGTTGTTTCAGGAGTCGTGTGCAGTAATACAGTTCTTGCAGCACGCTCTAAGATTATCCGTGCTTCTTGAGTGCCAGAAGCCCCAACTGGCTGTCCCCTTCTTCAGCTTCCCCAGTTGACTGCTGCTTCAGACCTGTGTTGACATTAATGTGTGGGTCACTTGTGATCAGCAAATTCAGTTAACTTTCTGAAATTAAGAAAATTACTGCTTGGTGCTTTTGTGTTAACACAACAAAACCACCGATTTTAAACCTAAAACTAGTTTTGTGTAGGTATTCCGTAAGATGTAAAATCCAGGGTGCTTTCTGGCTAATCTAATATAAAGTTGAGAAGAAATACAGTTGCTTCTTGTCACTCGTGCAACTTCAATCTAGCCTAAGGTCATGATATGTGACTCTAATGTATTGTTGATCTTTGACAGTTGTGGGACATTCTCACTTTTGCTCTCAAAATCCTTTGAAGGTGGCATAGTTTCTCTCCACGATGTCTTTTTTTTTAAGTCATGGTATTGGATGGAGACTACTGTTAAAAAGAACAGAAAATTAGCTTAGTTTTGTAGCATTGTCTTCAAATTACCTGTCTCGTTATATCACCATATTGGATCACTGGGTTATTGAAATAGTCTTGGATCAGAAAAGCTGTAGGGTACTTTTGTATAATGACTGATCTAAATAAGGTTTTCGGTTTGGGTTTTTTCTTCCCCCTTCTGTGATATTTGGACATGTGCTTGTAACTGTTCTCAGATGTGTTACGAGGATTAAATTATGTTTACCTTGTACCTTGTTCAAAGGCTAAGGGAAATCGCGGTCAAGTGAAGTATTTGACTGTGGAAAGCCTGATAGATTCAAAGAAAACTTTGATTTATTACTAAAAAATTCTCAGGTCTCTTAAATGCTTGGCGATGCCTGCATCTCTCGAAGTAATGTGTGTGTGTGTGAGCGTGCTGGGGTGAGCTAGTAGAATTTCGTTTGCAGTTTCCCCCTTATTTAAGAGGGAGGCTGATGATTGCCGAAGGAAAGTGACTTCAAAGCCGTAAATGGAAGGCTGCCCTTGCTGCTTTGTGATCTGCGTGGCCTGAGTTGCTTAGTCTGCTGGTCGAATGATTCTCCCCTTCTGCCCTCCAGCAGTTTAGGCCATGACTGAACGTGCCTCTGTGCTTTAATGAACAAGATACTTTTGTATAGGAAAACTATAGCTTTTTTGTTTTAGCAACTTCAGTGACAGAATTGGAAGCTTCTTAATGTATCGTGGGAACCTGTGTGTTCTTTGCCCTTGTGAGCATAAAGGTCAGCGGCATTTTTTGAGACCTTCTGGCAGAAATTGCTGGTGTAACTTGTAACTTCCTTGGGGCAGTGGCACTGCTGAACACTAGTGCTTGTTTGGGGATGGTATTTTTGGGAATTCTGCTCTTCTCAGCAGATGGAGTGTTTCATTGGTATTCAGCGCGGTGCTGTTGCAGGGCACTGGAAAAAGAAAAGCCCTCCAGTGGGCCCAACAAGCAGAGACACAGATCCTTCCAACATAATAGGCATCTTGGATGAACATTTCAAGCAGGAAATGTAATTTAATTTTAGGATTGAACTGAAGGAACACATGGTAGATTAGAGAAATTCCTGGCATTTTGCAAATATGGCATTAAAGTACACTGTGCGGAAGATGAACTATTTAATAGCAGGTATGATATCCATGAAATTTCAAAGAAAGATTTTGGAGTGGGTGGTTGGAGTGGATGGTTGCCCATGCATTTGTCTGAAACTGTGGAAATGGATGCATGTTGGCCCTCTTGTTGAAAAGGCAGACTCAGACAATCTTCTCCTATTTTCTGGATGATTATATACAACTTCCTTGAATGTGCAGGTAGCTAGGTTTGATCAGTCCTTGGAAAGCTAATCTTTTTGAGGCTGTTGATGTATGGTTCTCTTAGTTTATTTGAACTCAGGGAAAATGAGGTGATTCCTGTAACAAACTGAAATAAATTGGAAGAAAGTTTTTTGCTTTTACATTCTTCTGTTTAACCTGCCTTTCCCTTTCTTTCTGGATTCACTAGTGTATCAGAAGAATCTTGCTCATATGGCTAATCTTTAAAACCATGGACATAATAGTACAGGGCAAAGCAGTGATTAATGCAGACTGACTTGTTCCTTGGGGTAGTCTAGATATTTAATGCCACATAAGAAATTCTAAACACTCCAAATGTTCTAATTCTTGAAACTTTCATTAATGTGTATGTGGTTCACTTGGATGTTTGACCACTAATACAAGAGTGAGCTGTTGGCAGTGCCTTCTGCTTAGGCTGGAATTTCTGCTGGTGGGAAGAGAAGAAAACTCATTTCACAACATTGTTTTCTCTTTGTTTTAGCCATATGAGAAAAAGGTGTCTCCTTTGTATCTCCAGAACATTGAGGATGCTTACAAGAAAACCTTCTTACCAGAGATCAGGTTAGCAAACCAAAATGTTTTGTGTGTTAAGTCTTGAGTAAAAATATGTGCAAATTCTAAAATCTCTGCCAATATAAGCAAATAAAATCATGTCATGTGAGAAATCCTCTGTGTGCTATGTGGTACAATATTATGTTCTAATGATGGGGTATTGCATCCATGGCATAACAACTATGTACATTTGTGTGTAGTTACCTCTGGCATCTGAGAAGCCTGATGCCAGTGTTAGAATATTGGAAGATTAAAAATGAAGTCTTTTTAGGTGTTAGCTTTATAAAGCAATGGTTTTTGACTCTTAACAGATTCAGAGTGGGTGGAGTGGTGTACAGTAGTAAATTCATTGGATTTCATTAATTGACCTACCTAATATGTTGCAAAGCTAATGAGCCCTGATCTGCAGTATGTTTTTTCATCCTGCTGTCTTGGGGCATTGCAACTTTGCTGTCATGGAGTCAAATACAGGGAAGCATAAACTTTTTCTTAGTTAAAAGAGCACTTCAGGAGCAAAGCCAGGAATGTGGTCTGTTTGCTCTGCAAAACCAAGTTCTGTCTCCCTTTCTGACAGTATTCTGTATGTGTTTGGCGTCGACACCTTTGCTTTTCTTTCTGTTAGCTTGCAGCAGTGGTTGGAGTGCTTTCTTGGAGTGATGTCCAAAATGCCATAGCTATAGCTGTGTGTTTGTGTGACCTAAGGAGAGTGTGATGCAATATAAGCTTTTCTCAGGCCTTTTTGGAAAGTTTGGAATTTTTCTCTCCTAAAAACTCCTTTCAGTTGTGATAGCTTTGACTAGTTTCTGGATAGTGGTATGGAGGGAGAGGAGAAAGGCCTGCAGGTAAGGGACTGTTCCCTTTTCTAGTTCTCTTTCACCACCTCGTGAGGCATACACCTGATAGCCTTCCACATTTGAAAAGGATTTGATGGACTTGTTGGTGCTGGTAAATAAAGACTGCACTACTACCTGCTCTGAGAGGCTAAAGGTGCTCTTCTCTGGGCTCCCCTGGCTTTCTCTAGCTGAGAAGCAAGAATGTGTGCACTGAGATGAGACTATTACAGTTTGCCAGCTATCCCAATTCTTATAAAAGAGCTCTGTCAAAAATAAAATTGTCCTAAAAATCTAAAAGCACGTGAATGTAAGCAGTTTTGGTCCCTCATAAACAAATAGCTTTCTGGAAGGGAAACTCTTAAAGGTCACAGAGCCAGGCCTACTTAACATCAAAACGATCTGTAATCGTGCAAGGTTCAGTGTGTGCATGAAGCTGATTATTGAGCTACATTTAAGTCAAAGTAAATCTTCAGGTGTATTGTAGCTTGCTTGTTTCCCCTGGCTTTCTTGCTTCATCTCCCGGGGTAAATCAGTATAATTGTGCTGTCAGCAATTGAACTGAATAACTTTGTATTGAGCTTGTCATTCATAGAGGGCAGAAGTTGTTGGTGTGATGTATGGTCAGCTGCCTCCCAGTGTGTCCCCCACAGGTTAGCAGCCATCACACGGCTCTCAGAAGGAAAGGGGGGCTAAGGATGGAGAAGGAGGTTGGGAAGCCTTGGGACTGTCATCCCCCTGAGGGCAAAACTGTTTCGAATTTACTGGTGAGGAGAAAAATGCTATTTGTTCTTTGGATCAAATCGAGCCCCAGGAATATACCGTGGTGTTTAGTGAGGCTAAATCCTAGGTCCTGCTGTGATTTCAACTTTTTCCCCTTTATCTGTACATGGTCAGTACGCTTGTTAAGCAAACACTCCAGTTGGCATCCTCATCAGCAGATGGACTTACAATAGCTTGTCAGATCAATCTTTGTGCTCGGGTCTGAAGAAGGATGTCTCTGTCCCATTGATGTGGGGGAGTTGTGAATGTGTGAGACTTCAGCTTTGCGCATCTCTGGACCTCACTGATGGCTCGTACATTGGATAAATATACAGAAGCTTCAACTGTCTTTAACTGTTTGCTGGCTTGCAGAGTGATGCAGTGAACTATATTCATGCCTGGCTTTTAGTATCTAGGCAGACTAAGAAGTATTTGATTCCCTAACTCTTGAGGATGACCAAAATCTGGTTCAGACAGGCTAATAAGAGTTATTATAGACTTTCCATGTTCAAGCTTATGTTTGCTTGTTTTCTTGCTTTTCTTGAAAAGCAGCAGGGAAATAGTCCAGTGTGTTACTTAGCAAAATTCCTGTTATCTTGATCCATTTAATTGGAGCAACTTGATGCTGCTTGAAGTGGTGTGTTTGACAGTGAATATTTGGCTATCTTAAAATTGGTGCTTCCTTTCTAGTCTGACATGTTTATGAATGTCTTTTAATGTTTCTTTTGATAGTGATTTGTGAGCCTGGTGCTGTGGCAGGTACTACCTCGTGATTTTGAACAGACAGCTTTTGTTTTTCGTTTGATTTTTCTTTTCCTGGACCAAAGCCCTAAGATTCCTTTCATATCCAATACTGCTTCCACTGAGCAGCTGTTTTCTCTTAATGAAAGCCTTAATAATCTGCAGAGTATCAAGTGATTTGATCTGCATTGTTAATGCAGTTGTCAGTATAAGACTGGTGAAGTCTGACCTCTCCCTTTGATTACTGACAGTTGATACTGAAGATGTGAGTATGCATGCTACACTGTCACAGCAGCTCCCTTTGAAAGGAGCCATTTATTTTCTTTCTGTGACTGAAGAGTCGTGTGAGGCTTCATGCTTTGTTCTCAAGTTGAGAACAAACTCTTTAAGTAGTTCCCCTACTAGGAGCACCAGTTGAATGGCTGACTGTAAGAGCTTGGGGGTTCGTAAGAATAAAAGGCATTTTGTAAATGAACTTTTTTACCAGAGCTGTTTTGACTGACCAGTGTTAATGCAGATGAGGAACTAGTTTGGACTGCTGCCGTTAATAAGTTCTTTTGATACTGTGACTGCTTACAGCAACACTGTTTAGATTGCCAGCCTTAACCCTGATTAAATTTGGAAGCCATTGTGCTGAGCAAAAAGTCTGCAAATTCTTCTACGTGCTCTTCAGCTTTGCTGTGTGTTGTCTGATATACTGTGCACGTTGGGCTTCCATTTTATTTTCTCTGAAGTTTTGCTAGCTAAAGGAAAGGTCTTCCAGGGCAGCTGGAGCAGGTTTGGGAACAACTGTTACTGAGGGCAGCTGTGCGTATGTAGTAGTGAAAAATGTTCATATAGGAGCTCCTATTGTGGAACTGCTTTGCAAGTGACTTTTCTATGAAGGCTGCTGTATGAATAGGAAAACAATCTTGTAACCAAGAAGCTATTACCTGTTTTAAATGTTTTTCTACTTACAGATCCTGCTGCCTGCATTGTATTGGTTCAGTTAGGTCAGTCTTAGTAAATAATGATGAATGAATGTATTCTTGTCTTAAAAATTACCCACAGGTATTAATGTACTTGTTATAAAATTGAAGGTCTACGGAAGTTTTGGGTTAGGCTGGTTGAAAATTTCACTTGGCTTCGAATAGATTGGGCAATCGTAATTGGGGAAGTATCCACATTAGTGAAATGGAAACAAATTCATAGGTGGGATTTTTTTTTTATTTTTTGAACTCAAACTATGTGGATACCACAGGCCATTTGCCCCTTAAAAACAGTTTTCCACCAGGAAAGAGGCAACTTATAGATCTAATAGGAATTCTATTGCAAGAACTCTGTAAGCATTCTAAAAAACTGTAGTGACTCTGGTTCTGTGTTTGTGCCTTTTAACTTAATTTCTGCTTTATTTTGGAGCAGAGGGAGAGGATGGGTAGAGCAGTTGTATAGGGGAATTCAATTTTCTTCTCTTTTCAGTGAGACCAGTGAAGTTCTGCAGTATACAGCAACTGAGGCAGAGGATGTGGAGAAGGTAAGAGTTTGTTGCATATATTGATTTTTGTTTTTTTAAATTTCCAAGACTGAAATGTAAAGAGAACATGTTGTCCTAGATAACAAACTTAGTTAACTACTTAATGCGTTTAGTGTTTGTTGCTATGGCAAAGATCTGGGCTGGGTCTGTACTAGAATTATTTTGATGAGTGAGTGTCGTTTTGTCAGAGTGGAAATCCCACCCCCCATCCCTTTTGCCAAGATACCTGGCTATCTGAGCAAGCAAAGCCCCTATAGATTACATGATTATCACTAACAATTTTTTTAGTGTCTTTTGTCTGATCTAACTTATGGTGGGTGTTTCCAAATTTTGTTTGTTTTTTTCCAAGCAAATCCTGTGAGGGAGGTGGAAACGGCATTTCCTGAGTGTCTACTGGGCTGTGCAGTGTTTGGCTGTTCAGAAGGGAAGGGGAGAAGTTTGGGAAAGTGTTAACAGGCTTTCCCAAATCAGATGCGAAAGGAAAACAACATTTGTTTCAGTATACTAGCACCTGTCCACCCACCTGCACTACATATGACACTTGGCAGGTAGCAGGCCATCTTACTACAGAGGTTTGTGTGTAGTTTTGTGGGAGCACTTCCATCTTGCCATGGAACACATCTTAGAGCCTTTCCTAGCTAAGCCTCCAAGCCAGTGCTTAACTAAAGACAACTTTGGCATTCATAGCAAGGGAGGTTTCTGACTGCTTGCTGCCTTTGTGGATTTCTTTTAATTTAAAAAAAAAAAAAAAGCATATTTGAACACCTCTAAGTGTTGCAGGAGGCAGCCTGTTACTGCTGTGCTCACTCACTGATGGACTGGGTTTGACTGGGATCAAGTTAATTTTCTTTGCAAGAGCCCATATGGTGCTGTGCTTTAGATCTGACCAAAACAGTGTTGATAATGCACCAGTATTTTAGCTATTGCTGAGCAGTGCTTGCACAGCATCAAGGCCGTCTTTCTCACTGTCCCCTGTGATTAGGCTGGGATGTGCAAGAGGTTTGCGAGGGGACGCAGCCAGGACACCTGGCCTGGACTGAGCAAAGGGATATTCCACACCATGTAATGTCATGGTCAGCAATAAAACTGGGCGGGGGGGGAGTTTTTTCCAAACTAGCTGTTTCTCAGAGCAATCATGGAAGCAAGGGGCTAGAAAAATCTCCTGGATCTTTGAGTTTTGTTCCTGCTGTTTGAGTCAATGATAAATCTGTTTCAGTTGAAGGCTGCTCTAAAGTTTCCTCTCTTAAGCCTGACTTTGGAGGAACAAAGTGTGGATTTCAGTTGGCCTTGTGCATTACTGTAGCTTGTACCTAGTATCCTTGTGTTCCCATGCAAAAGCTTTGTGTGAAGCAGGAAATATTGGTAAGGGCTTTCCTGGTCCTAAAATTTTGAGCCCCACTAGCTTCATTGCTGTATGTTTCTATCCCTTTTAGTTCCTTCCCTTTATGAGAAAGTGGTGGTGTGCTACATTGTGGGTCCTGCCCTGTTGTGGCTGGACGTTGGGACACTCATGCACTTGGTTATAGAAGTTATAATTATTAACCAGTAGATTTAGTGAGGCAGTTTGAGTTTATACCCACAAAAAGGGCTGGTGGCTTCAGTATGGCAGCAGATAAATAGAAGTTCACTATGAAAACACTTCAGGGAGGCAACCACTTGCAAACAGCTGGTTTTGGGGTACTGCAAAAAGAAACTTCTGAAAATGAGGTGGTTTTGGAAACTTTAAAAAAACAAAAAACAAAAAAACTCAAAAAACAAAGGCCCTTCCCTTTGTTCTGAGATAACATTATTTATGCAGATAGCTACCTGCGACCTTTACCAGCTGACAATTCTGATGTGAATCCTTCTGTATCATTTTCAGCAAGGGGAAAAAATGACTGAAGGGGGTGAACCTTCACATTTTGTCTTAGTCCTGAAATTGTTTCCAAGTAGCTCTTGAATGTCTGAGGTTTCAGTCTTTTGAGTACCCCTCTGAAAAATCAAGAGCGCAGCATCATTGTTCTCATGTGCATAAAAAAAATGAAGTATGGCTTTAGTGTTAACAAGGTTGGGATGCCCCTACTTTTGTGGTAGGTGAATAAGGTGTATAGCAGCTGGTAGGCACTTGTTGAAGTTCACATACCTGCAGCCACAGTGAGGACTCTGCTTTGCAGTGAGAAGCATCTTCTGTGGGCAAGAAAAATCAGTGTCCCAGGAATAATATGTTTTCTGCTGTGTTTTTAATTTTTTTTTTTGAGGGAGAAAAACAGGGAAATGGGAAGAAGCTGAAATGAACAAAAAAAACAAGGTCAGGGTGTGGATGAGAATATTGAGCAATTATAGTTAATTTTTCAGGGTATCATAAAAGAAAGGATAACAAGATTAGACATTTGTGTTTCAATAAGGTAGATTTGTGTTTCAAGAAGGTAGCCGTGGATGTTTGGTACAAGAAATAAGAGAAAGCTGGGATGGGGGGTAATTTGCTTGTTTTCTCCCCTTCCTTCTCTGTAAGCATGTCTTGAAGTGGTCAGAATAAAGCAGTTTGTTTCCTCCCTAGATTTTTTGTAGTAAACCCCATTGGTAGAGATTTTATTTTAATCCTGTAAATTAGGGTTTAAAGTCAGTCAAAAGCTCTTATTGCTCAAGTAGAGAGTCTACTAAGCTCAGCAATCTTGTCGTCACTGTACATAGGGTCATCAGTATGCACTGATGTAATTCTTAATTTGGTTGGACAAATCTGTACTAGTGGAAGAATTATTATTTTGAAGTCAAAGTACAAGGTGGTATCGTATTTTCATTGTTAGATGTTAGCTATAGAGATTGGTACTGTTTCCACTTCAAAGAATAAAGTGTATTTTTTCCCTTCTGTTCAGATTCAGTTTACCTTTGGAATGAAATAGTTGAAATTTGGAAATAAGGGTTGGCAGAAGGAATTTAATTTTGGCAGAAGGAATTTAATTTTGGCTTGTTGACACAGGTGTATCCTGTTGATAGATAGCAATGTTTAACTGTTAGTTAGCTTCAGTTTATTTGCTATGTGATTTGGGAGCTTAATTTTTTTGTGACCTAATAGTTCAATGGCTTTTGATTTGCTCATAGCAGACATACACAACTTAGAAATTACTTTTGTTTCTAAAGCATGCTTTAAAAAGATCAGTCGGGGTTTCGTATTGTAATTAACGATGGTTGTGGTGGCTAAAGGAGTAGTAAGTGCTGAAATGAGCTTCGTTAGGGTGTTTCAGACTGCTCTTACATGAGGATAAAACTGGGAATAAAAAGTTGGCTAATATGTGTGTTTAAAACTTTTTTTAAAAGCCCTGGATATTAAAAAAGGAGTGGGAGTAGAAAGGAAATAACTTAAAAATTTAATCAAAATCGTTTCAATTCCTCTGTGCTTGTGAATAGTGTTTTGTATTACGTATCAGTTTTATTCAATGTCGCCAGCTTGCGTAAACTGGAGAAGATGGTGAAGATGGGAGGCTGCTGACAGACCAGCTTTGTGCCGCGTCCTTGGCAGTGCAGAAGTGAAAGGCTCCAGAGCTACCCTGCATGAATTTTTCAGTTGCAGGTGCTGCATGTGGGCTGAGCTCCTTCCTGCAAGCTGTGGTCTGAACTCTGTAGGGTTGTGGCCTGCGTTGCTCCTTGCGTCTATCTCTTGCTTAAAGAAGAAAACTGTGAGGAAGAAGTTTGGGGAAAAGTCAGCTGACAGAACAATCTATCGGGTTTGGTGTCTTTGTCCCCAGAAATGACATGAATAAGAACAGTGTCACCTTCTGCTGCCTGCCACCCCCCCCAGCTCTTCCAGCAACAGCACTCACCAGATCACTGTGAAACAAACTTAGAAATTGCAAGCTGTTCGTATTGGCTTAGTTGAAAAGATTACAGAAAGGGGTCTCATTATTGAAAACCATTTTTTCTAAATCCTACCATGCTCTGCAATATATTAAGGCCTGATCTCTCCTGGACATTATTGTAAGTTGTGCTACGATCAGGTTTAAATCATTCATTTGCTGCTAATTCCCAGGGGGTGCCAGGGCACTCCTTATAAATTAAGAAACTGCTCTTCTAGCCTGGTTGGGAGGCTGATACCATTGTTAACAAGCTGCTGGGAGAGGTATCTTCTGATATGATGATCAGAGTGTGCAAAACTAATTTGGATCCAGGTTTCTTTCCCCCCCCAACATATTCTGAGCCCTATTGTTAGCAACTCTATTGTTAGTCCTGTCATCAGCCATAGCGGGGAGTTTCCAAAGCTTGCTGTGGAGTAGAGAAGTAATTGCTTTTGTATAGCTAATGGGAAGTATGGTGGAGGTTCAACATTTAAATTAAATAATTAAAATAAATAATGGATATTTGAACTAACTTACCATACAACTTTCTTCCTGTTTACATCTTTGAATGCTTGTCTTGGGGAGTTATGTTACAGCAGTTTGGTAGGAAGAAGCAGTTTCTAAATACAATTTTGAAAACTCTTCTAAATGTCTGTGGTGCAGTTTTCTGTAGTGCTTTTTGAAGACGGAAACATTTTTCCATCAACAGGTGGATTTGTCGTTGGCTTTTTGCTTTATGTAAAAAGTAGGTTTCCTATGCTCTCAGCTACAGTATCTGGTTTGCCAACTTTGCCGCTTTGTAAGAGATCAAAAATGGTTAAAGAGCATCTAAACTTGCTTGAAGTTTTAAATATGCTTTGGTGATGTCATGTCAATGTATTTTTTAAGTCTTTATCAGCAAAATTAGTCTTTAAGAAATATAAATGCCTGAAGGAAAATGATCATGCAGTCATATCTCTAAGCCATTATTTCTTACCATAAAAACATACTACTGGTAATAGAGCAGACCTTTATAGTTGAAACTACTTTATAACAGCACTTTTTTATTGCCTTTTAAGTAGTAATAGATAGGATTTAGTGTTTGCTGTGATTGCAGGGAATAATTATAGTGGATTTAATATACAGTAAAGAATAGAAGCATTTTTCATTTATTATTCTATAACTCACTTTATTACTGGCATCTGCTTACTTGTTGTCAGTGGATCGACAGTGCGTCATTAGGATTTCAGTCCTGACCTCATAGCTTCATCCTTTGTTTCTGGAAAAAGCCTCTGAAAAGTGGTGTTTGGAGCTGTAACAATCCACTCCTTCCCAAGTTGCTTCAAGGTACTATCTCCACCTCATCATGCACCTTAAGGGCATCTTCCCAATGCTAGTTCGGGTTTCCTTCAGATCTAGTCAGTCGTGTGTGATAACCTCAGGCTCCTGTTAAGCGATTACACAGTGGACCGGCAAAGATCTGTTTTCTGATGGAGCCAGTCTGTAAATGAAGCTCAAATATGGGATTGATAAGTTCGGGGATGCTGGAGGAGTGATTTGCTGAGCTGGTGTTACTTGTTTGAATGATTCTGGGTGCTGAGCTGTGAGTTTTACCTTTCCTTTCTGCTCAGGGTACATGCATGTATGGGTAGGTCTTGATGACCGATCAAATCAGGAGGCTTTGGACTTCCGTCAGCATGGCTGCTTCAAGGGTGTTTGAGTTTTCCAGCCTGAAATATATCTCAGTTTCTGTGATGTGAACCACACAGCAACGCTGAGATGCAATTGCCACCATTGCCTCTCAACCTATCTCAGTTAGTATGCCACTAAACCATTTTGGAAAAAAAAAAAAACAGGCTTCCTGTGTAGCATGATGTTTTTTGTTTGCAACAAAAAGGGGTTAAATTTAGACTTATTTCCATTTCCTCCTCATTCCACCTTAGAGGTGGGGTTGTACCTTCTTTGCTTCCTTTCAGCCCCAACGGCAGGTTGAGGAAGAGTGTCATGAATCAGGTAAGAATTTGGAAACAGGGCACCTTTCAGGTGGTTTATTCCCTGCCATCCTCTGCTCACCAAGGCTGAAAGCACCAGGAACTTTAGAGCTGTCCCCCATGTGTCTGCCCAGTGCTTATGGCAGGGCCACGACCTCTGGAAATATGACTGGGAGATATGTTAGCTGTAAACATTTGCATTGTTAATACAGCTTTAGCAGTGAAGCCTTTTTGCTGGGTGACTTGTTTAATAATATATTTTGATTATTTCATTGATTTGGGGGGCATGTTCATTGATTTTGGATGTTCTGATCAGACCACCTCTTAGTGTGATTTTTATCTTCTGATTCCAGGTAATTGAAGACATTGAGTACCTGAAGTTTGACAAGGGGCCATGGCTGGAGCAGGATGATGTTTCTTTCCATCATCTGAGACTTTAGTAAGTATGATATCCTCCAGTAACTGAACATTACTTAGCATCAGATCTCAGGGAAAATGGTTAAAGCCTTGAGTTTTTGAAGGTATGTTTATATTTGCACTCTGACTCGTGTTTTTTGTCGGAAGTCAGCAGTGGTAGCAGGCTTTTGTAATATTGGTGCTTGGCACTGTAACAGTGTGGCGTTTTGCTGCTGCTAATAATTGATTAGACAAGAGACTCCAGATGAATAGATTCCATGCCATTAATGAAGCGCAGGAACTCTTGAGGCATTTCCTAAGTGCTGTGACTCTGATTCTTACTTTTGGGAATGTATTTTTGTAATAATTTTTGTAACTTCTGTTCCTGGGTGATCACAAACATGTTGTTTTAAAACAGAGCATTTATGCAGTTGGCACGGTGGTTTCTCTGCTGCCCTAGCAGCATGACATCCTTCAACAAAGCTTGTTGACAGAGGAAACTTGTAGCAAGTTTTATATGTGGTGCTGTTTAGATTGGCTGTGTTTAGATTGTTTTTTCTAAAATTAGACTAATTTCTTATGCTGTCTGCTTTTAAATATCTTTCCAGCAGTCAAGAAGCTGGCTGAACAGAGTATATAACGGGAAAAAGGAATCAAGCAAACTTGGGTGACTGCTCAATAAGTCATTTCTTCTTTTCCCCTGACTCCCAGTAAATAATCCTAAATAGAAGCTTTAATCCAAATTCATGGAATGAAGTATTGCAGTTCTGTTGTTCATTCTCCATAATAACAAGGGGGATTGTGAAGTACAGCAGCTTAAGGGTGGTTTTTGTTGTTTTTTTGTTAAAGATCCTTGTCTCTCTAGTTGGATGTGAAGACATCAAACTCAGATAGTGGAAAGTGCCTTGCTGGAATAGAATCAAATTTGATTATAATAATTCTTTGCAAGCACTCTATGATTCTGTCCTCCAGTTCAGCTGTAGGGTGCTACTGGTGGGGCTGCATGTGTCCCCAGAGCAATGCTGAAAAGAGAGGTAGCCCTCCAAACTCTCAAAATACGTTGAACCGAATCATTGATGTGTCTGTAAAGAAGAGAGATCAGACCTTCACTTTTATCCATATGTTACAGATGAAGCATCAGGAGTGCCACTCTGAAGTCATGTTGATGAACAAAATGTTCTCTGGATAACCCCATATAAAGAATATACCTACACTTGCAAGACTATTAATAGAGAGAACCTTGCACTGAAGTGAGGCTTCCCAGTTTGCTAGAACTTCATCTTTAGACTGAATATGCAGGTAGCAAGTGCAGTATAGTTACTACATTTTTAAAATAAAATGTAAGCATTATAGTCTCTTCGTAGTTATTTCTGGTTATCTCATAGGTTAATAGAAACACAGGGATTTTTTAAAATTGAATATCTGCCTCTGAATTTCTGTCTTTATTGTGACAGGCATTGGAGTATTAAGTTTAAACTTTTTTGCAGGCTTCTGATATTCTTTGCCTTTTACTTTTATGTGCTGTTACTTCAAATGCCTCCTAAAATTAGAGATAATGTTCCTTTTCTATGGCCCTTCTATCAAGGGGTGAAGAGAGATCACAGAAGAGCAGTGTTGGCTGGTGTCTAAAAGAAACAAGTCATGATTCGGGTGCCCTTTAAGAGGTTTCTTTCTGTAGTCATGAAAGGATAGCATCTGGTGACTTAGACCCTGCAAAACTATCAAAATCAGATTTCCTTTGAAAGAGGAAATACAGTTAAGTTGCTTGTTTTCCTATAGGTTCACACTAGTACATTTATTAAGAAAGGATTATTAATTGCAGAGTGTAGGAGGGAGTTAAAGGAAAGCATACAGTTAGAGCAGTGTATTAAGGTATTGTATGAAAATTGTACTTCGCAGCTGTAGAAGGGAATAAATTGCATTGTTAAGGACTCAATTTTTCATTGAACCATGGGGGAGGGTGAGAGGGTCTCCTGTACATGGCTCTTGTTGTTGTAGATAATACGAAATTATTTCTTCTGTTGGCACTGTGTGGCTGTTAAGATCTTACAATGCAACAAACTGCTAATTTAAATGTTCATATGGTTTGAGTTTTGCTGTTTCCCTTGCCTTCACAATAGCATTGTCAAGATAGTGTTCATATTCGGACAGATGATGAATGTGCGCGGTGTTTGCTTTGAGCCTTCATTTGGTGCTGGGGTACTAAGGCATTGATCAACTGTGTAACGACAGATCCGGTGCCAATTTTGTGCTCATGCCTTGCTCAGCTGAATGAGGAAATTGTGGGCAATATGTTGGGCAGCCTGGGAAAAGCACCTTCATAACTTTTTATAAAAATGTGTAGGTTTGGACATAATCTCTTCTCATGTTAACTCTGGAAGTGCAGGACAGACATGAGTCTCCCATCACAGCTTGCACAAACTTCACTCATGAAAACATGTCAGGCCCAGTGCCAGACAGGGAACAGATGGTGTAAGGACCGAACAAACACTGCAGGGAGTCTGCTGCATGTCTTCAGTGTTGGAATAGCATCCCAGAGCATCAAATGGCAATTTCAGGTGCTAGTTCATGAACGTTAAAGCTGATGCTTTCCTCACTTTTTCCAATGCCCAAGTAGAAGAGAGCTTATGGTACCCAGCCTTCTGCAGATTTGCAGGTGTCCCATGCCTACATTAATTTGTCCTTTTGGAAAGAGTTTTTTAGCATGTTCTGGTGGGCTGCCTGTTCCATATGCTGGCACGTGCTGCCCTCTCGTGGGTGTTTCTGGAAGGCTGCAGCAGATACTTGTCTGGTTTTCCATCTGCAATTGCTTCCTTTGCTGACCTCCCAGCATTTTGCACAGCCCACTCGTTCTGACTTGGGCTGTTTCAGATCTGATGTTGTCCGGGAGTCAGAGGGGCACCGCGGCGGGAGGCAGGGCATTGCAGTCGTAATCCTGCTCCAGTGCTGGCTTGGCTGTTGGCAGTTTCACTTCTTCCACCTTCAGCTTCTATCAGCATGTCTGGGGGAAGGGTATCAATGGGCAAGGGTGAGGATAACTTTTTGATGACATGTATATAGGGTCTAACGCACAGAAACCCCAGCAGGGCCTCTGACTACTTTGGTAATGCAAATAAGTAAGCTAATCAAAACAGTGAGCCGCACCCATATAAAATCAGTTGCATAATGATACCTTTTATCTCCCTGCCTTGCCCTCGAGTACTCTCTCCCTTGCCCTAATAGAGAGTAGTGTGGTTGTGGGACTGAGGCATGTCTTGGTAAAAGGTTAAAAATGTATATATTTGTTTGTATGTAAGCTGGAGGGATCTCCCAGAGGATGTTCTCCACATCTTTCCTTCCTTGCCAAGCGCTGTGTCCAACAGAAACCACTCTGCTGTTTTTTTGAGATGTGTCAAGGAGTTCCTCTGTTGCCACTGCACTCTCTCAAGCATGTTTTATCTGTGCCCTTCCCAGTGAAATCGTGTGACTGTCTACATGCATTGCAAAATAAATAATGTTTTGGAAGGAAGAGCTGTAGTTTGTGTAACATCCCCTGTGTTCCTTTACCAGCTGTTGTGGGGAGCTTACTGCATTTGACTTGTTTCATCAGACAGGTCCATGGTTAAATCTGTTAAATTTCCACAGCTCCTTCAGAATTTGCTATAGCAGAACATATTTTGTATAGGCAAATTTTCGGCTTTTTTAAGCCACCACTAATTTAATTTAAAAAAGATAGGTATCGGCATTTGTTTTACCTTGATGAAAAGGGGATCTGTTTCCATTTGGAAACAATCTAGCCATGAAATAGTTTGCCATTCTCATCTGTTCAATTTTGTTCATTAATAACTATTAGTGTGCCACAAATCCTGTGTAGTAAATCCTCCAGTATTGTATTTGACGGTACATCAGACATATATTTTGAGGTTGTTACTGACGGACCTTGTATGTGCAGTAACTAGTAATTTTTAAGTTTTCTTAACATTTGTTTAGCTCTTCAAGCTATTGCTAACCCCGGAGTTTGGCTTCTATTTCCTTTCTGTTCATTTTGCTCTCATTTCGTTAAATGAAACATTGTAACGAAGAAGCATGGGAGTGAATGAGGGAAAGCGACCCTCAGCACTGTTTCACAGTGCAATCGAGCATGCTTAGCAAAGGGAAGAAGTGTCCATGTTTGAATGTCTGTCATGTCTGATTTCAAATAGCAGGACTAGAAGTGCTTGCAAGAGGTGCATTGGACTTGTTTTTGAAACTTTTTGTCATGGAGACTCCAAAATCTCATAAACAGTTCATTATAAAACTTCTGGCACTATTAAAAACTGCTTCCTTTGGCAACTTACTTCTCTCTTGCTTCAACTGAAACAGTTCTTTGTAATTTCCTCTTTGCGGTGGCTTTTTGTAGATTTGAAGAACTGTTGTTGCACCTTCTTACCTTCGCTTGCAGACCTGCTTTTCTTGGGAAGCTCTTTTTTCTGTCTTGGTGTTCATGGCGGGTGTTTGTTGTTCACTGAGGGAGTGGCCATGTTCACCTTCGGCATGGCACACTTTTTCTGCCTAACCAAACGATGGAGTCTGAGTCTCTTTGGCAAAAGGAGGTCTGTACATCATTGCTCTGCCTTTGCTTAGTTCTGGAGAAAATGGGCAAGGAAGAAATGACAGGCAAGGAAGGACACGTGGGGGACACACAGCCCACTGCTGTCCTGTGTGCCCGCTGAATGAGCGCAGGAGCAGAGGAGGTCAGTACGGTAAGAGATGGATGCAGGAACCATCTCTCCCACCCAGCTCTATGTGCCCACGGCATAAGCCAGGAGCATTTCTCCTTTCCCCTGCTCTCACAAGCACGGGCAAAATCGTGAGCGTATCACACACTGGCTCACTCGCACGTGTTGTACCCTACCCATGGGAGGCAGGGAGGCAGGGAAGCTGAAGGCAGCAGGGCTTGAGGAGCCCTGGCCGAGGTAATAAGGGTGTGAATAGCAGAGGAATGAATGCCACCCACTCGCTCAGATTCAAACCTGAAACACAATAACCGGTCGGTGAGAAGCTGGTTTCAAGGTGTGCAAGAAAATAATCTCTTTTCCAGTGAAATCCACCTGCTATTTCTCAAGTTACTTTCATGTATAAGCACAGAAGTTAACTTGGGATGCTTTTGTTTTGCTGGCTCTAAGCCTCTTAGGCCAGTGAATGCTTTTAGGTAGGAAGTGTGGTTTTCTAATACTGTGTATTGTCACTTCAATTTTTGTGATTATGCCAGCATCAGTTGTTGAGAAATCATGGCTCAGGCTATGCAAACTGGTCTTTTTGTTTGCTTGACTATTTTTTTTTTTCAAAGCAGTCTACTTTACCCTGCCTTGCACCTTTAGCAAATATGATCATAAGATTTTCTAATGTTCATTGTGGTAGGCAATCTTGGGACTTTGTTTATACATAGGTGGGGAAAAAAAAGCTAAGTTACTTGTGTGTCATCAGGTTTCTGCAGGTTCCCTGAAAAATTTGTGTGTCCTTGCTGTAAGCTGCCTGTAAGGGAAACAGGACTTCCTCCTCTGAAAAGAGGCAGGAATGTGTCAGTCCTGATTCCTCAGTACCTGCTCGTGCATGTCATGCTGGACATAATGTGTGAAGTGGGTGTGTAATAGGTGCTTTTGGAGAAGAGATGAGCTACCCATTGCTAACGTACTTACGAATGTGATTCCTGTGTGTCAATGGGAAGAGCTCTAACTAATAGGGTTATGGACAGTTGCAACAATGGTGAGCTAAAATCTAATGTTGCTACAGTATTAGGACCATGCAGTCACTTACATGCGCTCAGTTAAGTTTGAAATGTCACATAATCTTACGGGTAGGTAAAGCATGCTCTGGGAAGCTATGCTACTGCATGATGCGAGCTGCTTCAGGAAAATATGGTTAAGTGCCAGAAAATAATAAATAGTGATACTTTTGTGCTGGGGGAGAGAGAGAGAAAACTAAGGAAACATCTTGCTGAGCAGTGAATTAGTTCTGGCAAGTGAATGTGGTTTTGTGGTTAAAGACATTGTTGTGGCAGGTGTCTTTGGGTGGTGCTTTTAGTTAGTATTCAAAGTTGTTTCTTAAGGTACAGAGCAGAGCTGAAGCTGGAGAAGCCATCTTTGGTAGCATTATGTTTGCATTTTTTTGTTGTGCAGTGGTTGCTTTGGAGGCAGTGATTGTGAGAGCAAAGAATTTTTAAGATCAGCAAGTTTTCCATCTTGGCCACTAACTAAAATAAATTGTGCCCGGGAATTGTCCTCCACAATTTGTCTGAGATTCGTGAAGGAATGGGTTAACTGCAGACTGATTGACTGCTGGACTCAGCTTGTATGTGTCAAGTTATACTTCATATATGCCTGGACAAATTTTATCTGCTTTCTCCTACAGACTTGTAAGGTCCAAACATGTGCTCCTACTTGACAGAGGGCTGACTCTCCCATTTCTGTGGGAAGAAGGGACGGAGATGTTTATTCACTGATAGATTAGTGGATCTTCTACAGCCTCTGCTGTTAAGCCTGAGCTCAGCAAGGTCTTTAAACATTGCCTGCATGTGGTCCTGTTCAAATCAAAATTCTTAGCTTGCTGTCTCTGCTCTCTGCAGAATGAAAATGCAGATTAAAGCTTGCAGCGTTGGTACTGATTATAAGTGTGATTGCAGTATGGACTGTACTTAAGGAATGAAGAGCTGGTAGCTGAAGGGCTGCTTTCTGCTGGGGTGTGTTTATTTTAGTTCCAGGTTAATTAGCAGTGCGTATTAGAGCTGATTCCTTCTCAGCAGGACCCCAAGAGAGGAGACTTAGTAGGTGCAAAGGTGCTTCTTCCAAAGTATGCTGGGATTCAGAAATAAAACCAGTTGCATCATCAGATCACCATTTTGGACAAGCTCTTCCATCCCAGCTCAGTTATTCCAAGCTGTCCTGGAGTGGGAAGGCTGGGAGTGGCCCACAGGAGGGCTGGTGCTAGCATGTCATGAAAAGAGCTCTTGCTGTGTTGGTGAGGAGGCAAAGGAGGGCTCTTTTTCCTGGCTTCCAGCATGTGAAATACACATTTAATATATGTGAAGATAGATAATGTAGTAGTTTATAGGAAGCATCTTTGGTGTTCATCCTGGCCTTGTAAAAGGGCATTTATCCTTACCTTTTCCCACCTCAACTTTTACTAGATTATTGTCTTTCCTTACTAATTTGTCTGTAGAAGGATAATTTGTAGTGTGTGTGTCAGGATACGTTAGCAGACTAGTTTACTCGTTGAAGCTGTTCAGTACTGTGAGGTAAGGTAGCGAAATTTGTGATTTAGGTAAAAAAATTAATTGCTTAAAGATTATTAACTTTGCTTTGCTCAGGACATATGCTTTATGTGTATGTAAATATTTGTAAAGAAATGGAATTCACGGAAAACAACACAATTTGCAGTGTTTCAAGTGTTGAATTTAGAATTTGGTCACTGTCCACTGCAAATGGATGTATTTTTCCCCAAATATGTATAGGTGGCACTGTTGGTCTATGTATAATACCAGTATGCAGAAGGTGGCTTTCTAGCAGTTTCTCAGACATTTTAAATTTGGGGTATTTGAAAGTGCTGGCACCGTGCAGCATGGATTTTTGGTGGATCCTGATATCTGTCGTTACAGCTGCTGCAGCAAGCTTCCCCTGGTTACTCTCAGGCAGGATGCTAGAGGCACTGCCTGCTTCCAAACCGTGTGTTTGCCTCAGTGTCAATCCATTTAGGATGGGAATTTGGGGAAGAGCACCACCTTACTTTAATCCTTGTGAGGGTTCATTTGTGAAAACTAAGTGAACGGGAGGCAATTAAATGAAGTTGATATAGCAAGATAGAGTGTGGGATTCAATAAAACCACTGGTTTTACCTTGCTTATATAGGAAAGCAAAAAGCCAGAGTTGCCTTATGGAGAAGGCTCCCAGGAATGACAGAGCATGTCCAGGGAGGAATAACATGGGGAGGGAATGGAGAAGCAGGGAGAAGCTGGCGCAGGAGCAAACTGGAGGCAAGGGGGTAAAAAAACCTCCACGGGAACTGTGTGAGGAAAAGGACTATGTATTCATCGTAACTGGAAAAGAGCCAAAACCTGTGGAAGTATCCTTTAACAGAAAAGTGGTTCTTTAATATTTGGCCAAACTCAGAATTGATGTTGCTGTCTTTGGGGCAGGATGTGGACTAACTGCTCCTTTTTCCTTCCTTTCCTTCTTTCTTTCCCCTCAGTGTTCAGGACAAAGATGGAGTGCTGGATCCTACAGCCATCCCTCGCTTCATTCCAGAAATCACAATTGGAGGCAGTGAATATGATAAAATCTATTACGAATATCGATCGGTAAGTAATACTGGAAGGGGAGCAGTTGTATGGTAGCCAGGCAACTGTCCCTGCCAAGGTGTAAGCACGTTCATAACTGTCCTGTGCACAGCCTGGGTGTCAATCTCATGCACAGGGATACACATTTCTAAGAGTAAGTTCTGGGCTTCGCCCAGATCCCCACCTTTTTTGAAGTCTAGAGGAACAAAGAAGCAAATGGTTTGTTTCATAAGCTGATTTTCTTTTTTTGATCTTTAGATGTGGACTAAAGGATAAGTGGTTTTCATTTGTTTTTGTTTCTCCTGCCCCGATTAGTCTCTGACCTCTGAAATCTAAAATAATCCTTTGAGTCAAACAAGAAAATTGGAAACCCATGGTGACTTCTGTGAAGACGACCGCTTATAAAACGCTGAGGGAGGGGGTGTTTTTTCTGGAGTAGGCTGAGGAGGTACGAATGTTACATTGCTTCTCAAAACTGTTGTTGCTTTAAATAGTGTGTTTCTGTACGCAGGCACACATCCAAAGCCTGTTGTGGCCCAGCGCTCTCTTACACCTCATGCAGGCTCCCACACAATGTTTTAATTAGCTTCTTGCCTTTCTGGTTCTGGAGACAACGGCTTCCAATTGACTTAGCACTTTGCCCTATCACTTATTGTTATTTAGCTGGCATGGGGTCCTCTCGCACCACATGGTGTTTTCCTAAGGCCCAGGTATTGTAAATTCTCATTAGAGAAATTGTGGAACTGATGGTAATTAATACTGATTAGACAAACTGAAGTTACAGGTGATGGTGTATTTTCAAGTTGGATTGAAATAATCTCTGCTACTGTGGTTTTTTTTTTAAGTGATCACTGAAGACAAAGGAAGGAAGATCTATATAAATTTTTGTAAACCATGATTTGCATAGTCAAAACACTATTGTTTTTCTGTTCCTGTTGGTATACAGTCTCTTACTGAAATTGAAATGCAAGATACAGGTTTGTGGACTTGTTTGGAAACTCTGGACTACCAATGTTTTCTTCTGGAATAGTCCATTCAGAAGTCCCTGTGAATATTCAACATAATTCGTTCCTCCTCAGCTAACTATGCAGTGGAGAGGCTCATGCTGTTCTGCCTCATTTGAGATGTAGTCTTTCCAGCTTGTAAAAGGGGCTAAAGCTAAAGGTTAAAACAGCAGAAATCATCTCGATACTCCTTGAGGTTGTCTAATGGGTTTGAAAACTCCCTGGTCCATCTGAGAAATTGCTATCAGAATTTCGTGCTTCTTGGTATCACTTAGATTTTTAAGTCCAAAACTTCAAGCTCAGACTAAGGATTTTTGGAGTCCTTCATTCCAAGAGACGTCTGTGCGTGTGCAGCACATATTTCAGAAGGATCTGCTGCATGACTTGTTGCCAGCATGCAACATCCATCTGTACTGACAGTGCCTTTCTTCTCGAAGATGATGGGGTTTTTTGGCTGAAATGTCACTTTGCAGTGGAGCTGGGAATTATTGAGGCTGCCTGACACACAGCTAGATGTGACCTTGGTGTTGCGTGCTGAGAACTGGGGGTAATACTTCTGAAAGCCTTTTTTTCTCTAACTGTACAACAGCACATTCCTTTTTGTGCTGCCAAGAAGCTGAGAATGCCCTGGCTCATCAAATAGCTGGCTTCCAGGAAAAATTGTGACTTGCCTTGCAGATGTAGCAAAGGGATGCTTAGGAGTAGGAATATGAATACCTGGGAAGGAAAGTGGGCTCTTGGATTGCTCTGCTCGATGCCAGTTAGTTGACAGCAGAAGCTGAGCACTGTCAGTGCAAAAAAAACATTGCCAAAATATAATCTCCCTCCTGCAGGCATGCTTTTAGGCCCTGATTCAGGAAAGTACTGTGGAAAGTGATAATGTCCTTTGGAATAAGGAGGAGTTGTACATTTCACGAAGCATTCTGTTAAATTCAGGCAATACTAGCTACTCTTTTTCTCTCTTCTGAATGCTTAGACACTTGTAATCCTTCAGGGATGGGGGAGTCTATAGGGATGGTGCACAATGCAAAGTGTGCTGAGTTTTCCTACTTCCCGTAAGCTACTGGAAGGGGAAGGGAAGCACAAAGCCAGCCCCACCTGCCGTTTTATATTTATATTCTAAGAATTCAATTCTTTGTGTTGAAACTTTGAAGATCTGTGTTTTTCCCTCCAACTTTGTTTAGCAAATGAAGGTGTGAATTTCTTTGTAAGGCAAGGCTTACATTCAGAGGTAATATAGCATGAGACCAACCAGTGCAGGCAGAAAAAGCAGATGAACTTCTAGACATACAAATCTTGGCTACGAGGTTGCTGGGTCTAACGAAAGGGAATCGTAAACCCTTGCCTTGCCCCATGTTTATGCAGGGATGGTTACAGCTGTGCTACCACTTTTGCATTTGAAGACAGATAAAGATTTTGGGCTCACATGACTCGTAAGTAAAGACTTAATTATGGTATAATTACAGAACTTTAACTTTTCCTTGTGGGAAATACGTGCTTTTAAAGTTAGTGTAATGATGTTTACCACATAAATACAATGATTTGCGTAGGGGATTTTTTTCCTCAGCAATCCTATAACTAGTCAGAAATCCTTGATCATACCAATAAGCAGCAAACTGCTGTGCTTTTCAGAGTTGCATGCACACAATTCATGCTGCCTAATAATGGTGGTTTTCAGGGATTCGCAAATTCCAGGCAGAAGCTGTTTATTGTTCAAAATATGCATTAGTCAGAAGCAACAGAGAAGGAGGAGGAAACACTCTTCAGAGTCCAAGATTTTAGTATATGTGCCTTTCATGCAAAATAATGAGGTAGCCACATACAGCTCTGAATACTAGAAACTTGCTTTTTTGTGTATATCCTCTAAATTTCTTCTGTAAGCGTTCTTTTCACATGTGAGGAGGTGGCTTTCTGCCTCCTCTAACCATAAAGTCATCTGGCAGGGTTCAGCCGTTCTGTTCAGGCATTCATAAACTTCTAAAGATGCTCTTCTGGCAAGAGAAAAGTAACCTTTTAGTCTCTACCTCTGTAGATCACAGAGATAAGCATGTTCATTCTTAAGTGAAGCAACATTATTTTAGGAACTGTCAGACTAGTAAAGACTTGACTACTCCGTTTTTTTTTTCATAACAACTGCTGTATCTCTCTGCTTTCTTCCAACCGCGCACAATCCCCATGGATAGTGCTCCAAACTCCATGTGCGCCCTGTGAAGCTGGAGCACTTAGGCAGATGTGTTTGCAGAGAAGACGAAAACAAACGGTTCTGTTTAATGGAATCAGTGTACTTAAATAATGTACTTATGTACTTCACACTCCCGAATGCTGTTGGCAGCTGAATCTCCTAGGGGTGGTGAAAAAAGGATTCTTTTACGTGCATGCTCTTTTCTGTATACATGTGCAGCTGTCTAAGATTCATATTCAAGCCATCGCCTACGTCTTTACCTCTGTAAACAAAGCTGGAGAACTTTAAAATAGTCTTTGCAACCTCTTCCTTCACTGCCGATCGTAGGGAAATGATCAGCATTTCATTTATGTGAACTTTGTGTTTAAAAAGACTGGAAAAAAACCCGAAACAGTGGGCTGCTTATCACACGGTGTACTAGAGCCTGGAGTCCAGTGTTTGCTGGTGTTCACTCAAGGTGAAAGCAAAATGGTTAAAACCTAGTCTCCTTTCTTATGTCATCAGCCCTAGCAGAAAGCATTTGTGCTAGCTAGCCCACTCACCCCGACCCTGGTTCATGTAACCCAGCTCTTCTGTTTGTCCAATGGCTTGCCGCAATGTCTTTAAACACAAGTCTAAGAAACCCTGAAGGAGAAGAGGGCAATTTTCAGTAGTATGCTTAAAAACTGTGGCTTGCATCTCGTGCTCTAGGGTTTGTTTGGGTTTTTCCCCCTCCCCCATCCTTTCTCCAGGGTGTAAGATTGCACGGTGGTAAGGGTATCCTATCCACTTTGTAGTTTGCTGGGATTCTTTAAGTGTAAGTGCTGGTGTGTATATTAAAGAAAATAACCAAATACTTGGGCACACAGATTCTTCTTCAGACAAGATAGGCCAAGGTGCCTAGAAGTTCCTTTTGTATTAAGGCAAATCCCATATCAACATGTTGTATCTTTTGTTAGCCTAACTTATACAATTAGAAAAAAGGAAGTCAGGGATGTGTACCTTACCCTTGAAGCAGACAGTTGTGATGAATTCTTTGAAGAATTTATTCCATACTCTTGAACTACCTTCAAAGATGCTTCCTATCCCAATATGACTTCCAGCTCCAGTGAGTGCGTGTGCCTGTGTGTAAGACTTTCTTAGATCAGTTTTAGTTGTCATCTTTCAGTCTGAAGTGTCCTTCTGCTCTTGCATCGAAATGGTGAGCCACATACTTCCCCTCCTTTATTTACCCTCCTATTGCTTTTCCGCACCATGCACTGGCTATTTATTGATCCTGGCACACTTCAGCTTCCATCCCTTGGCTCCTTTCCTTCATGGTTCTCATTGTTCTCCTTTGAACCATCTAATTGTGCGATGTTACTTTCTGCGGTGAGATAAACTTTGCACGTGTGCCATATTCACCACATGAGGAAAGCAGAGGCTTACTTGGCAGTAGTATTGATTGTGCTTTATCCATCCTTGTCAGTGCAGCTCCATATTAAGCAGAGACAAAATGGGTGGCTCAGATTTTTCTGCCTAACATTTAGCTCATCAAGAAAGCAAATAAATACGACACTGAAAGGTAAGAGAAGGCTCTCATTTTCTTTTTTCCCACCCTTTTCCCTTGGTGGAAGGCTGCTTTTGGAATACGGGTATGCTGAGCATGGGGCAAGGAAAGCTAGTCAAAGACCTAGCTACTGCTACAAGGTGCAGTCTGGCTCCCATAATTGTGTCTCTGGCAAGTCCTTTCAGCTTGCTAACCTAGCAGGGATTTATTTTTTTTATTCCTGGACTAGTCTTATGCTAGATTGCCAAACTGAACAGGTTTCTGCAGTTAGGTGAATACCAGAGCTGTGGAAGGGAAGTAGCATCAG